CACGCCGCTGGCGAGTATTGTATTTTTTTGATGTTATAAAGGTAACCATTTCATTACCAAATTCAGTTTTGTTATTCCTCACTCAGTCACCCTTTCTGGGTTGCAACACAATGTGAGGGTAATGCAGAGGATTCGGAAAGAGTTGGCTGAGTCTAATGGCGATTACAAAGGTATTTGCAGATATCACTAGTGATGGTGATGTTATGGCTCCATTGGTCTTACCACAGTGCCTCAGCCTCAACACGGAAGCCCACATAAAGTGTCTTGAGGAGTTATTGCTGCATTGGGTCAAGAGGGTGGCCGCTGGAAAACCTTATGCCTGGCAACAGGACACTTCACCATACTACAAAAGCAGGAGAACCCAGTGATAACGTGTCAGACAATTTCTGCTACCATATCACCCCTTATTTCTGGTCACCTAACTCCCGAAAAAGGAACCCTCTTGATTATTAAGTGTGGGGAAGAGTTGAGCGAGAGACCAACACAATCCCTGGAGGATCTACCACGTCTCTGATCTTGCAGTTGAAGAAAATTCATCAAATCGACATAAATCAAGATGAAAACCAGACTCCTGTGAAAATGGCAAGAACAATGGAAGACGTTTTAACAAAGAAATCTATGGAAGAAGAGATTTCAATGTTAGCTGCCATAGATGCATTTTCTTTCAATTCAACCGCGAAAAGCAATTTTATACAGAAAAATCTTCATCGTCAGAGGGGCAAATATGATAAATTACCGCCAACATCTGCATATGGAGTGAGGAATATGGTAATGAATTACTGCATAACCAAGATAGAAGAATTTATTCATTATTTCGAAAAGGAAGCAGCGCTGGGGATTTCGCTACCCACTGACATTGGAGGAAAACACATCAATTCAAAATAAGCGATATATAAGGATAAATTTTAATGCGAACGACAACCATTGGTCGTTAAGTCTTATTAAGATCAATTGTTTCCACTAATAACAGAACTGAGGAATTTGTAGAAGACATCTTGGAATTGGATTGGATTTGGATAAACCCATTGTTGGCTGTACGACCGATGGTGCTGCTATGATGGTGAAGTTTGGAAAGGAAATAAGACCTGACCACCAATAATGTATCGCACATTGCATACATCTGTCAGTGATAGATATTCTTTATCAAAAAATATTGAAAATATCGCCTCAATCAATGGGACTAGTAAAAAAGTGAAGAGATTATTATAACAGACGATAGTGATGATGAAGCTGAAATAAGCCAACAATACATAATTTTTTAAACAGATTTGGCTCACGAGAATCCCTGTTTCCCCGCCAGCCAAAATGTTATTGTCCGGTTCCTTGTACCACGGTGATAGTCCAAGGTAGAACCAATAAAGAAGAACTCGAACACGTATATGGAATAACACAGATATATTACAAACAGGAATATATACAGAGAGGTAGAAAGTGTTAGTATGAACAATCAGGTTTAGTAGTAATTGTGTGAACGTGACTCTGTTTCGGACTGCCTCTGACTGACTCGCTCGCGCTGACTGACTGACTGACTCTGACTGACAGACTCCTGACGAATTTCACTCCAGACTTCAGACTGAACCCCCTGCTTCCTCTTGAGGTGCAGTATTTATTACGTATGGAATACTCCATTATGTTATTATGGGTAAGGTCCCATAACACAAAATCTGAATTTAAGTCTTAAATAAGGTAAGAGAAATATCCAAACTTTTCCGAAAATCACCTATAAAAAATTAAATTTTGCAAGATTTTGTACGAGCGGACTTCGATAACAGATGTGTAAACTTATATTTGATTGCAGAACCAATTGGAATAGTACGTTCCATATGATAGAGAGATTTCTTTTTTAAATTAAGAAGCTGCATTCCAAATGTGCTACGAGCAGTACTTTCCACAGAAACCGTAGATGACGATGAATAGAAAACTTTCAATTTTCTTTATGAAATTCTACATCCAGTAGAGATTATTTTGAAGGCTATTTTTGCTGATGATACATATTTATTAAAAGCAGAATATTCTATAGAATTTTTATTGGATAAACTTAATATCGTCGGCAACCCTTTGGTTCGAAATCTCTGTGAAAGACATCGGTATAATAAGAAAAGAAATGTTGAAAACTGACTCCCTTAAGTTATTTACACAATCCAAGGAAGTTTAAAGACGAATCAATCTCTGGACATTTTCTTTTTCTAACAGAACAACTTTTAAGCAAGTATGCTGAACAAGCATAGAGGAGATTATTATACGAAAAAAAAAGAAATAGAAGGGGAGCTAAAATCAAAGTTTTACTTTTGTCCTATCTACTTCCGAAGCTCATGATGAACTCATGGATGAATCTACTAGCGCAACGAAGGAAATAAACACGGAATCAACAAAGAATTCAACAAATATTTTGAAGCAACTTCGAACAGAAGCGAAAATCTTGACAGAATGTATAGAGAATTGCTTTCAATCAAAGCAACTGGCGACAAGCTGGAAAGAGTTTTTTTTTTTTTTCTTTTTCATTTTTTTTAATTACCGGACTTTTCAACCAAAAAATTAGAACGAGTTTGTGTGGTAAAACCCTAAATTCCTTGCGTTTTTTAAAAGATCACTTCCAAACGAAAGTGAATCATCAAGCAAGTCATTAAACTTGATTGATTCTTAGAAATACAAAGACTAATGATTTAAGTAAGTAGATTCCAAATTTATCTTTTATTTCTTTTAGTATTTGTTTTTCGAGAAAATTCATCCATACATATGCAGGAAGTAAATGATATATGTTTGTTTTGGATCTATTTCTTTTAAAAATCAAAAACCGATTGGACTTAACATTTAGAATCGCGTATTTTTTTTTAATTTTTATTTTATTTTGTTTTTTATTTATTTTTTATTTATTTTTTTTTTTGGTAACTAACATTTTCACTCGCTTAATTCTTAGCATAGATTTGGTTAGGATGTAGAGGAATTGGTTCCTGTCTTGTTAATTCTTAGACCCTCGCCCACTCTACGTTAAAAACGGCACACAAAAAACGCAATTAATGAAAGGCAAAGAGAAATAATGTTACAAAATGTTTCGCTGCTTGAAATGAATTTGATTCATATAGTTTTATTTGTGTGCCGTTTTTACATTGAGTGACTGAGCGTGTTAATTATTTTTCCTATCTTGCTTGCACGGTTGGCACAAAAGCATTTTTCTATTAAGGTGATTGGTGTTTTATATATAAACATTTTATGTACATTAATTCCTCTACAATAAGTCAAATGTCGTAGCCTATACCAGTGTAAAAATTTAAATATCATAAACTCGATTGCTCTATGTTGAAAACAGCGCAGGAATGAAAATAATTTCCCAATTTAATTAACAATAACAAATTAATTTTATAATTACTCATGATTTTCTTTCATTGCATCTTTAATTTCATTCTAACTGTGCGTTGTTTTTAACATGGAATGTGCAATGGGGTAAATACAGGCTGTCCATAAAGTTCGTGTGCACTTTAAAAAATTTATAACTTTATTTGTATTTGCGATAGAAATAATTTGTAAAAAGGATTAGAAAGAAGTAAATCTATATTTTTTAAGGTTTAATTGAAATTTTATTTAAGTTTCCACATGTCCTCCATCATTAGCAATACAAAGGGTAATACGATTTTGCAGTTCACGGAAAACATTTGCCAACTGATTTACAGTAATGCCTGAAATCACATTAGTTATTTTAGCTATACTTAAAACTAGGTACATTAAACTTTATTACATTTTTTACAGATTATTTCTATCGCAAATACAAATAAAGTTATAATTTTTTTAAAGTGCACACGAACTTTATGGACACGCTGTATTTACAGCCCAGGTAACATATTAAAGCTTTACACCCTTCCACACTCGGTTTTAAAAACGGTGCGCTAATGATATCAATTTTTAAACTCCTAACTTCTAAATGTTAGAATCGGTTCCATTAGGGGATTTAAAAATAAATAATCCTGAATGATGCAACACACCCAGGCCGGCAACTTTTTCGCGATAATCTGAAATTTTAGTGTCTAATCGATATCCGTTTATTAAAAAAGTAAAAAAAAAAAAATAATGATAGGGTGCACTGCTCTAAGTCCGCCCCAAACTGGTTTTTTAACCAGTTTTGAGAATGACTAACACTTAAACTCGGCTTTGAGAATTATCGGTTTTCTGTGAGCCCTAATCCAAAGTAAATTTATGTCCAGGTTCTTACAACGTTTCACCTTTCCAGGTAGATCTTCTATTATCACAATGTGGGGGGGGGACACTTAACCGCAAACGTGACAGAAACAGAAACAAAAAGAAAGATAATGAAATCAAATCAGTTCGACTATATACTCAAACACATATATCTAAAATATAATGAATTCTCAGTGTTACCAATCTTTCGTTTGCATGTGTGGCTGCATGAATATAGACATAGTTCGATGACGTCCTAAAGCACAAAACGCGTCACACGAAAAAGTTTCTACTTTGTTATAGATTTCCCTAATAGATAGATTCATATATATATATATATATATATATATATATATATATATATATATATATATATATAGCATTGTCGTTTGTGTGTAATAGTAATAAAACTTTTCTTGGACTTATGGAGAAAATATACTTCTGCTTAAGGGGTAATAAAACAATTAAAATCGATCAGAGAAAGCGCGAAGGAAGGAGGTCTTTGTTCTTCGCCTGATGAAGATCAAGAGACTCGAAACGCCTGCAGCAAAAATATGGGAAATAAATATAATATATAATTAAAAATGCTACATTAAAAAAAAAAACGTTTGCGGCTTCTCTCTTGTTTTTAAAATACACACTTTTCTCTCGTTGGAGCAACTATAATACCTCACACACACACACACACACACATATATATATATATATATATATATATATATATATATATATATATATATATAAGTGAACACTGAAGTCAACAGTCAGAAGCGACAGACTGTTTCATGCTAGACGCAATCATCAGGCCACACACACACACACACACACACACAGATATATATAGAAAGAAAGAAAGAAAGAAAAGAAAAGAAAAAGAAAAGAAAGAAAGAATAGGAGCGAGATATATTAATAGATAGATCCACATCTTATGGACCGATAACTTGCACCGATTTTAAATGTGAATTAAGTTTAAGCGTCTAATGATTTTTTTCTATTTCTTTCAGATTTGGTGGACATTTGGGCGATATTATTTTTCACACGTAATTGCCATGACTTCATTAGCATCATCCAATAGAGAATTTTCACCAATAACAATTTATTTACTGCTGACTTTGATCTGAATTAATGAAACACCCTTATATATAATCCGTCTTAATGAAACACCCTAATATATATAATCCGTCTTAATGAAACACCCTCATATATTTAATCCGTCTTAATGAAACACCCTTGTATATAATCCGTCTTAATGAAACTCCAGATAAGGACAACCAATAAGAATAAAATATTCTCAATAACTGTCTTTATCCCGAATACTAAAAGCACAATTTCTTTAAGCAAACAAAAAAGAAGGACTTTTATATTACCTGGAAGATTTCTTTTTATTCTCTTGGGATTTTTACCAAAATTTCGCCTAATTTCTCTACTTTTTGATGAGGTAGGTGTTATTTATAATCAAGTGGTCTCACCTCGTTTTGTTACTCTCCTCTTTGAGTGAGCTATTTTTGTTTACTGGGACTACAAATGAACACTATACGCGAACCCTGTATTCTCAGTTGAATAAAGCTTTCTTAAAGCCTACACCTACGTACTTTTGGCATTATAGTACGGTCTTTTGTCCTTCACGTATTATTACCCAACTTTTCAACTGGATTCAATTTTGTTTTTTTTTCTTTATTTTGCATTAATAATGTGTGGTAATTCATCTTTTTTTTCATTTTTATTGTTATCTAATTATGATAATTTCTAAATCCTTCAGTTATAAATGGATATTTTACATGAGATCACCCGATTAAGGAATTTTGTTTACGTATCGTTGTTTTTATTTATATATATATATATATATATATATATATATATATATATATATATATATATATATATATTTATCCGAATATTCGCTTTTTACTCAAACTTGTTATTATTGCCAAGGGCTTTTAGCTTGCATCTTCGTAATGGCGTAGTGGATGGGAAAATATTATTAGCTTTCCTCATATCGTTTATTATTCAAATTTCTGTTTATATTAGAAATTTTTGTTCTAGAAAATAAATAAACATGACATTGTTGTACCCGAAAGTTTTATTCAGATGGCGCCAGTTTGTTAGGTGAACATTTTTTTTTATTTTTTTTTTATAACAAACGCAATCAAATTTTGTTGATGCCGCAAGTAGGAAAAATGACTTTAACTGCAGATTAGAAACGTTTACTAATTTTTTCCTGTTTTTTTTTTTATTCCTTTTCTGCCAAAATCATAATTCAACTTTGAAAATTTTTAAACGGCAGTGAATTTTTTGACAGTTGCTATAGAATATTGGCTTAAGCCAAAATGACACCGATGTTTTCGAACATGTCATTTTTTAGAAAATAACTTTGATGTCATAATATCAATCTTACTACTGCTACTAGTATTAAGAAGAAGGAGATGATGATGATGATGATGATGTATGAAAATTAGAAGTATAAGAAGAAAACGGCGACGATGACGACGACGAAGAAGAAGAAGAAGAAGAAGATGTATAAAAATAAGAAGTATAACAAGACGACGACGACGAAGAAGAAGAAGAAGACGTAGGAAAAGAAGAAAAAGAAGTAGATGTATAAGAAGACGAAGAAGTTGAAGATGTAGAAGAAAAAGAAGAAGAAGGAGTAGATGTACAAGAAAACGAAGAAGATGTAGAAGAAAAAGAAAAAGAAGAAGAAAAAGAAAAGAAGAATGATGAAGAATAATAAGAAATATAAGAAGACGACGAAGAAGAAGAAGACGTAGGAAAAGAAGAAAAAGTAGTAGTTGTATAAGAAGACGAAGAAGTTGAAGATTTAGAAGAAAAAGAAGTAAGAAGTAGATGTACAAGAAGAAGATGTAGAAGAAGAAAAAGAAAAAGAAGAAAAAGAAAAAGAAGAAGAAAAAGAAAAGAAGAATGATGAAGAATAATAAGAAGTATAAGAAAACAAATAATAAGAAAACGTACATGTATAAAAACAAGAAGTATAAGAAGAAGAAGAAGAAGAAGAAGAAGAAGTCAGCAAATTCTATTCTAATAGCTTATCTCTCGTACTTTCTGCTTTTTGAAACTCTCTTGCAGCGTCTTGCTTTTCTGTCACCTATGATCTGCCAAAGTTTAAAGCGAGCGTCATTCGTCATCTTCTGTCTTCTTGAATTCCGTTCTTTTTATTGTTCTTTCACTTCAGAAAAGTTTTCTCGATTTTCTTCACTGTCAGTAAGCCTTTGCATTCTAAGGGCGAAATGGTTAACAAAAATACAAAACCTTGAAATAGAAATGATCAGAATGTAGCATCTAAAAAACAAATCTTCGTTTCCTCCGGCTTCTCAACCCTTTGGAAGTTATTTAAACCCAGAAAATATTATTTATATTGTAAGTTTTTTTTTTGTTTTGTTTTTTTTTTTTGTGGGAGGGGGAGATAACAATGGTTTAGTGATAAAATATTACTAATTAACTCAACGCTGAGATGACGAGGTAATTTATGCGTAAGTGAATATAACAAACCTAACTAGAGTTTGAACTCGGATCTCCAATTAACAATTCCGGGCCATTATAGCACCAGTCCGTGCTTACATCACCTAGTATTCCCAAGCGGTGACCCATCTAGGTACTGATCAGTCTCGACGTTGCTTATCTTCGGTGGTTATATGGGAACCGGAGTTTCTGAGCGATGCGGCCATAAGCTTCTTTTAAATAAAGAACAAACGGATATATATGGTGTTTACTCGTTCCCCCACGAGGACGAGATGTGACACAAGGTCTTTTTAAAGTGGGGACCCGATCGCGTGCACCCGGACAAAGGACAAAAATTGCCAACAGCCACCGAAATCGTCGGTTGCGCTGGCCTCGGTGCGAGCACCGATCTCTCCCTCTTGTGCAATGGGAGGACGCGGCCTCAGGCATCTGTTCCCCAGGGCTGGCCACCTCTTCAGTATTATTTTCTCAGTTGCGTCTCTGTCCTTTGACAGAGAAGCCCCTGGGAGCACTCTGCCCAAAGACAGAGACGCAACAGAGGGATGATAAGCCTGCGTCGAAAATCCCTCCAAGAAGGAATTTATACGCACTTCTCGGCCACGTAGGACTTCCTGATGAAACAAACCCCGAAAAATGCTTTTGATTAGATGCTCTGTTTTTATTTATTTATTAAACAGTATATTTATTTATTTACATCTAAGAGCCTGAATGTTTGAGAAAATTGTTAGAAAAATATACGACCTCTGCCAGGATTTGAACCTGCATCCCTTAGAGGAAACCGTCATTAGATCTGACGTGCCACGTAGTATTAACTCTTTCCCCCCACTTGGACTTGATGTGACACAAGGACAAAAATTACCCTCAGTCCCCGCAACTGTCGGTTGCGCTGGCCTCGGTGCAAGCACTGATCCCTCCCTATAGTACAATGGGTGGGCACGGCCTCGGGCAGCTGTTCCCCACGGGTGGGCACCGCTTCAGTATAATTTTCTCAGTTGCCCCTCTGTCCTTTAACAGAGAAGCCCCTGAGCGCACTCAGCCCAAAGACAGAGACGCAACAGAGAGATGATAAGCCTGCGTTAGAAATCCCTCCAAGGAGGAATTTATACGCTACAAACGGATATATACATTGTAATTAACCCTAGAACACTAACCATCAATTAAAGTTACACCACTACTAACCATGGGTATATCATACCCGATTTAGAAAATATAAAAAAATATATTAAATATAAATCTTTATTTGAAATATTTTACATGCAGGCACTTTAATCTTTGTAATTTGAGTTAACATTAATAGGAAATTAAAACATATTTAGGTAAGAAAATCAGGTACTGAAAATTGTAATTAAAAATAGGAAAATTTGCGCTGGGTACTATATATATATATATATATATATATATATATATATATATATATATATATATATATATATATATACCCATGGTTAGTGTTCTAGTCTTAACATAACAAGTTTAACGAAGTGATTATATTTCTGATAAACGAAGGCGCAATTTATGTGATCACAATATTATCGCCACATTACACTTACTAAATATTTCATTAACAACAGTAAGGATGAACCATGCTCCAGTTTGTCTTACAGTAAATGTTTCTCTTCAAATATTCGTCATTCCACTACATAAAATGTATTTCAAGTGAGAGACGAATCTTTATTGTATAGAGACAGTTAAATTCTCCATAGTGATTTCTTTCACTAAATATGTCCCTCCAACAATTACTAATAGTCACTGCATAGAATGTCTTTAACAATATTAACGCTACTGTCACTTTCAGAAAATGTTTTCAATTCCACAATTGGCAATCGTGTTACATAAAAGGAATTTCAGCTGACGGTAACGATAATTGTCTGGTCAATGACTACCGAATGTTACCAGTGTTATATTCTACTTTAAATATAAACCTCTTTCTGACTCGTATTGCAATAGATGGTGTCTCGACTGCGTCATTTGGGATTATCTCTACATAGAATATTCTTAGGAATATCCTGTAGCATCTCATTTCTAAAACTTTGATTCCTTGTAATTCAGCTGTTAACCCTAGAAAATCAGGTACTGACAATTGTAATTAAAAATAGGAAAATTTGCGCTGGGTACTATGTACTCATGATTACTCTTCTAGGGTTGAAGAATGAAATTTTAATAAATAAATAAAAGTATATCTCCATTTCTTCTTCATCATTATTCCCCAATATTTGTGCATATGCTTCGGAACACCGAATCAGTTTTCTTAAGTTTTTATGTAAGTTTAAAAAATTCAATTAAAAACCAAATAAAATATGCAAATATCAATGATGCAAGCACAGTTTCAAACTTGATATTTGTAAACAACAGCTAACTCCAGATAACTATTGTATTTATATTTGGAGCATAACTGCCCACCTTTTAAATAATTATTGGACTATTGGTAATGATGTTGAAAGATGCAAATATGTAGGCCAGGGTCTTGGCAATCCAAGAACAAGTGAATTACAAAGAATTTACACGCATTGGGACCTTATACATATGCAGATTTCCTGCAATGAAAATAATAAAAGAAGTTTTAAAAAGGAAGAATATTTTATGAATTGTCTTTCAATGCTTCCACGGAATTGAAAATCGTGGACATTAAAAAGGAAATTTAGTGCATTCTTAAAGTTAAAACTTCTGTGCAAATTTTGAACATTTACAACCGATACGATATATATGGCAATTCACCTATTAGCATTTTAGGCGCAAAATCACGCTGCCTCTTGACGTCTCTCGTGAATATTTACTTTGTATGTGCAACCCGCTCATACAAAACAAAGTAAACTAAAGAAATACTATAATGGCCGGCAAAAGACACTGCTACATTAAAGAACACTAACCATGGGTATAATATATCCGGGGCAAATTTTCCTATTTTTAATGTTAACTCAAAGTACAAAATTCCTCCAGCTTTTTTGCCTTAGCTTTAGCTGCTGAAATCCTTCAGCTTTTTTGCCTTAGCTTTAGTTGCTAAAATCCTACAGTTTTTTTTTTGCCTTAGCTTTAGCTGCTAAAATCCTTCAGCATTTTTGCCTTAGCTTTAGCTGCTAAAATACTTCAGCATTTTTGCCTTAGCTTTAGCTGCTAAAATACTTCAGCATTTTTGCCTTAGCTTTAGCTGCTAAAATACTTCAGCATTTTTGCCTTAGCTTTAGCTGCTAAAATCCTTCAGCATTTTTGCCTTAGCTTTAATTGCTAAAATCCTTCAGCATTTTTGCCTTAGCTTTAGCTGCTAAAACCCATCAGCTTTTTTTCCTTAGCTTTAGCTGCTAAAATCCTTCAGCATTTTTGCCTTAGCTTTAGTTGCTAAAATCCTTCAGCTTTTTTGCCTTAGTTTAGCTGCTAAAATCCATCAGCTTTTTTGCCTTAGCTTTAGCTGCTAAAATCCTTCAGCTTTTTTGCCTTGTTTGGTGACCAGGTGTATCTTCGTTGGTGGAAGAGTCTGTTCCAGTGACAGACGGTTTTACCCCAAACTGGTTAATCTCTTAGGTACTTGCTCCTTGTTGACGAGAAGTCAAGATTTTTGTAATGGCTTTCTTTCCTAATCACGATCCAATGCTTTCTATATTTTTCTGCAACTTCCCAAGGCTCCAATGATCCCTGATACTATAATTAATTTCTTTGTCCGCCCTTCACAAAATTTCAAAATGTCAACATTTAAATCATTGTAGTTGTTGATTTATCATTTTCTTGGCTTTCATTACTAATGTAATATAGATAGGAGATTTCTATGCCTTCTTCTTGTTATTATTATTATTATTATTATTATTATTATTATTATTATTATTATTATTAACCCTGATTTTAAACCAAAAATGAAAATCTTACAATCTAAAAATATTTTCTGGCTTTAAATAATCTGCAATAGGTTGATAACCCGTAGAAAAAAATTAATGAATCAATTTATTAATCAATTGTTGGCCAATTAAAATAACTTAAGAAATATTTCTACTTCTTCCATTTCTGTTTATTGTTTGCCCTGTCTAGAATTTTTTCAAGGAATTTTATATTTTATAAAATATTTTGATTCTTTCTTGTGTTAATACTCACGGGAACACATGGGGTTTGTGCGACGACATTTATTTGTACAAACACATAAGTGATATCTGTGATCTTTCCAAGTGTTTTTTCTTATTTGTCATTTAAGCAGCTGCCACGTTTTGATCGGTCCATTCTACAGCATTCCTCAACAAAAGAGAGATGTGAAGTTATCTCCAAAAACTAAGTTAGAAATTACGGCAGATCACTAGACTTTCTGAGATGAGGTTCAAGAAGCAGGTCGAGTGCACTGCTGGAAAGTGAGGAAATTAAAAGAAACGGCAGGAATATTCTAAAAGACCAATATACGTCAGACTTGTGGATTCAGCACAATATGATATTGATATATATATATATCATGAGAAAAATATACGGAAAAAACAAAACAAAAATCCTAATATGCAATTATGCTGTTTTAATGTTAATATAAGGTCAGCGTCGGGCGTTTCTAGTAGACCATCTTCAGGACATATTCATAAAACATAATATAGTCTAATGTTAATTATGTTTTATGAATATGTCCCAAAATGGTCTCTAGACTGAAACGTCCGACGTTGACATTTATATTAACATTAAAAACAGCATATAATTGCATATTAGGATATATTTTTTCATATATTCTATATGCATATATTTGCTTATATATATATATATATATATATATATATATATATATATATATATATATATATATATATATATATATATATACATACACACATATATATATATATATATATATATATATATATATATATATAGATAGATAGATAATGTTAGTGTTTAATATATATATATATATATATATATATATATAAATTCATAAAAGGTTAGAATCCCGGTAGAACTCAATGTCCAGAACAGAGTAAGGATATAATATAAAAGGCTAATATTCCGTGGTTATAATTTATTACATTATTAACCATGGAATAATAGTTTTTGAGCCTTATTTATATATATATATATATATATATATATAAATTTATATATATTAGCAAAGAAATAATTGGAGCGTATCCCTGTGTATAAAAACATAGAATCACTTCTTATGCAGATATGAACCAACACCCCCCCCCCCCCGATTTGCAATGTCAGTAATTAAGGATATCTTTTTAGTAAGCGAGTTTCTATGCGAGAGCCCCGAGGTTTGTGTCTAAAACAGCTAGATTCATTTCAGATCTCAATAACTCGGTTAATGGCGATTCTGATTGTCAAATTTCACAAGAATATTCTCTTGAACAATTCGTTGTTCTGACGGCGAAATACGCTCTTGAAATTGTGGAACCAGTGGGTGATCTGTAAAAAATGAATTCAATCCCTACGTCTTCTTCCAATTGATGGTGAATCCCTTCTTTTCGCTTTCCATTACTGGCTTCTCTAGGAGATTCTTTTCTGTAGACTATTTACATTATTCGGACTATTGTCCTCATCTTTGTCGTCATATTTATTACAACGTTTCGTCCCTTGTACGCTTCGGCCTTCTTCAGGTGATTGGAATGTCGAACTGAACCCTTTATTTCGCTCACTGGGGTAGACTATTCTTGTTCCACGTGACATGGTTAATGGATATCAGTTATCAGTTATCTCTTGTTAATTTGAAAGTTCTCCACTGCCTTAACCGGATATTGAACTCACACTCTTTGGGCCCTGTCACTGGATCTAACCAACGCCTTCATGCACTGTTCCATGTGTCCTTGAGGAACTAGAACAGTCTACCTCAGTGAACGAAATAAAGGGTTCAGTTCGACATTCCAACCACCTGAAGAATGCCAGAGAGTACAACGGCCGAAACGTTGTAATAAATATGGCGACAAAAATGAGGACAATAGTCCGAATAATGTAAATAGTGTGCATAATACCTCATCTCAGAAATATAGACAGATTTTATTCTATGCCTGATACCAACACTGTTTTACCTTCATATCTGATATTTTTAAGATTCTGGCCGCTAATAATGAATGCTGGTCTGATATCTGGAGCCCCTTCTGTTTGTCTCAAGGTCCTTGATAAAATCCAAAGACGGATATGCAATATAATTAGCCCTGATCTGGCATCTCATCTGCAGCCGCTCTCTCACAGACGTGCCGTTGCCTCCCTCTGTCTTTCTTACAAATACTTTCACGGTAACTGCTCCGATGAGCTGCTTTCGCTGGTTCCCAGAATTCATGAATTTAAGCGTTCTACTAGGCTGGCATCTCGCTCTCACCCTTTCACTGTCGAAACTGTTAAATATAGCTGTTTCTTCTACTCCAATAGCTTCATGTCTCGCACTTCTTGACTGTGGAACTCCCTCCCCTTTTCCTGTTTTCCTGATAGCTATAATCTCCAACCATTCAAATGTAATGTCAATCGACGTCTCCAGATGCCCTGATCTATCCCCTAACTTTTTTTCACCCTTTCCTCTATCACTCCTCTTTGCTCTCGCTCCAACTCTCTGTAACCCTTTGCGTGCTAGTGGCTTCCCACCTTGCTTGGGGTTGAATACTTAAAAAAAAATCTCTCAGGATCGCTTCATTGTAAAGGTTGAACAAGTCTGGTGAGATGACCTATCCTTGTCTTACGGGCCTTTCTATTTTTGTGCACTTACTGAATTCATTTTCTATCTGTACGCAGGCGGTTTGGTCCCAGTACCAGTTCTGGATTATTCTCATAGCTTTCTCAAATGAAGATGATATACTTTTTGTTTAATCATTGTTACCATTGAAGTTATAAGGGTCCTTAAGAACTGTTGTCTTGCGAATGGTTCCAAGGTACTTGGAAGAACAGAATGTACTGAAAATGGTATTGAAGATTTGAAAATAGATTTGTCACGTGACACAGGTGGCAATATGTAAATATCGTAATAGGAAGTAATTACGAAAACTTAAAGTAAAAAGTACTTATTACAGCTATGGAAGAAGTAGTTGGAGGTAGATAAAAATAAAAGGAGGGGATAGGATGAGGAAGAGGCTAGGATAAGGAGGTACGAGGAAGAGAATAAGAATAAGATGAGTAGAAGAGGGTGACAAGTGGGGAAGGCGGTTAAGAAGACGAGAAGAGGAAGAGGAGAATAAGTGAAAGAGATGAAGAAGATAGTAAAACGGTGATAGGAAAATAAAAAGAAGAAAAGTATCAGAGAGGAGTATCAGAGTAGGAGGGAGATAGGGCAGGTTGGTGGGAGGAGAGGAGATTGAGTAGGAAGTGATAAGAAACGATGATAGGAAGAGGGGGAAGAAGATAGGAAGGGTCGTAGGAGAGTGGTAAGTGTTTATTGTGGAATAGGAAAATATGGAGGAGAAGGAGGAGGAGGAGAAGAAGAGAAGGTGGAGATTAAGAGATGAAGATAGTAAAACGATTATGGGAAGAAGGAAAAGAAAGTGGGAGGATCGGTGGAGGTATCAGGAGGGGCAGGAGGGTTGGAAGATAGGAAAAGGGCAAAGTAGATAGGAAAGGGAGGAAGGTCATAGGAGGGGGAAGAGGATCAGAAGAGGAGGAAGGATAGGAGATGTAAATAGTAAAATGATGATACGTAGGGGGGGGAATAAAAGCATAGGAGGACGGGAGGTAGGTAACAGGAAATGCAGAACGTTAGGAAGATGACGATTAGAGGGAGGAGAAGAGGCGTGGGATAGGAAGAGAGGGATGAAGATAATAAGATCAGAGGAGGAGGATAGGAGGAGCAAGAAGATAGGAAGAAGAAGAGGAAGAGGAGAAGAAGAGGCAGGCGTTAGGAGATAAAGGTCGTGAAAAGAAGAGATGAGAAGAGGGAAGGAAAAGAGGAATAGGCGGAGGAGTTGTCCATAAAACTAAATCATCAAAAGTGTAATTTGTTTGAAAGGCTAATTTAAAAACATCCGTTCCTTCTAATATGGTGGAGTGATTTTTGTCCGTGTTCTAATCAGAAGTGATTGATTCGAAAACTCTTAGCCGTTTGTTTATAAACACTGCAATCAAGGGAACACAGCCTTCGATCAGTTTCGATCTTTGTCAAACGGAATGCAATTGCATGTAATTATCGTTTTTCAAATTTTTTTTTTTCAATTTTAAAAGTTTTATTTTTAGGATATTTTTATTCCGTACATGTGTTTTTTTTTTCTTTGTTTGTTTTTTCAATTACTTGATTATTTTTTTTTTTAGATTTTTATCTAATTTCACTATATTTTATTTTCATTTGTTCTTTTATTATTTCGTATTATTAGACTGACTTCTGCAAGCTTCTACGAAATCAATAAACGAGTTGGATTTTATGAGCGAAAATTCATTTGATTTTAACATTACAGTCCTGTGGGTAAGGTGCATTGCTTATTTTATAAAGATTTTCTTTTTCTCTTGGTGCTGAGAAGTTCTAGTCCCGACTAAGAAAGGATTCTAAAAGAGTTTCTAATCTTTGGTCATTTGATCAGATTTGGGGAAATGGGCCGAGCCAAAAAAAAAAAAAAAATTCAGCATCTTCCTGTAGCTCAAACTTTTCAGCACCCCGTTCTATTGATGAAGTTTGAACTAACACTTCTACAGCTTCTATGATAATTCAAAAATGGACATTATTATTATTATAAAGTCTGCTGCCATAGAAATAGTCATGAAACGTCTGGAAATAAAGTCCTACAGCGACGTTAAGTCCCAAGTCTCTCCTATAATAATAATAATAATAATAATAACTGAAATCGAAATCTCAAAAATGTGCAAGATGGAATCACTTTTGTAGTTGGAGCCCTCGGATTGCTTAGAAAAATATTCCAAGAGACTTATTGAAGGGATTCCTGGAAGAACCATAACTTAAAGAAATGCAAAAAAAATTGTTCTCACGAGTACAGCACACAACTTACGAAGGGCTTTATCTATGTACAATATCTGTGTGGCGGGGGTGTATTTTTTTTTTTAATTCGTTAGTGGAAAATGTCATGATGCCATTTCTAACCTTAGGTTGGGAATCACCTCACTATCCTTGAATATTTCTATTGTTTAATTATTTAAAAAGCTGAATGCATTCTTACACGCCAGAGTAGAGCTAAGTTTACAGACAGAACAGCCTCCGTTATTCACGCACAACATATAATCAATGCTATTGCAAAATGATTTGACCCTAGAACACTAACCATGGGTATATAATACCCATCGCAAATTTTCCTATTTTTAATTACAATTTTCAACACCTGATTTTCTTACCTAAATAAGGTTTTTCACTTCCTATTAATGTTAACTCAAAGTACAAAGTTTAAAGTAGCTGCATGTAAAATATTACAAATTAAGATTTATATTTAATATTTGTTTTTGATATTTTGAAAATCGGGCATGTTATACCTATGATTAGTAGCAGTCTAACTTTAATTCATGGTTAGTGTTCTAGGTTTAAATGTCAGCTTTGGTCCAGTTAAGGACGAGAAATCTTTCTTTTTATTAGTTGATTTGACATTAAGTCACTTGGCCCAGGGTTAGTGCCTGCATGCAAAATATTTCAAATAAAGATTTATATTTAATATTTTTTTTTTTTTTGATATTTTCTAAATCGGGTATGATATACCCATGGTTAGTAGTGGTGTAACTTTAATTGATGGTTAGTGTTCTAGGGTTAAATACTGCCATCAATTTTAACTGAACGTTTCATGATAACTTTCTTTGGCTAGTTTTACTTTGACTGAATTAAAACGCATAATTCTCTTCTTACATTCAACATCAGAATTGTCCAAATATAAATATTAAACAAGCAGAAAATATAAAAGATGCAGTTGCAAAATGATTAATTACGAAGTTCTCTTAGCTTTCCACTGATTTTTTTTTTTTTTTTTTACCTTGTAATCTATCTATATACTAGCAGCATGGCCCGGCGTTGCCCGTGCTTGATTCAAAAATCGTACGACTCATACAGCAATCGCTATCACTTGACTTAAAATATTTTGCCCTTCCTTGCCATTAAAGGAGTGCCCTTTGCCGTGCTGATGTTGCTACATGCCTTACTTCTTGCCTATCTCACACTGCGATTTTTTTCTAAGCTCTATACTAAACATTAAATCTGTTACGAGAAAAGAACTAAACAAAATGAACACAAAACGATCAGCTTTAAAAAAGGTACTCGTAACTGGAAGAACCGAATGAAAAAAAGAATGTTAAAAACAAATACTTTTTGACACCCAAACCAGTTCTGCGGAATCAGAATCAACGTTGAGTTTAAGCAAGCGAATGAGCCAATTGGAGTAAAGTGCCATGCAGATTTAAATTTTTCCCACTTGTGACGAATGCAGCTATCGATTTTTTTTTTATGCTAGCACGCTAGTTAAAATTCGTATCAGTCAGCTGTTGGTTCTCACGCTGGCCAATAGAATCTTCCTGCCTATTCGTGGTAGCCAGCTAGAGGCTCTCACTCTGTCCAGTAGAAAATGGCCGCAAACTACATGAAAACTGCCATAGAAGCATGAAAAAAATCGATTATTTCCACTAACGATGGGAGTTGGGAAATGCAAAGTCGATCTTGGCCTTCCCGCTAACTTGGAGCATGTGCATGTAAATTTTGGTGCAAAATCCGTTGAAAATTGCGGTCGTGCATTTGTTACGCACGCGCACACACATCCTGCCCTTTATAGAGAGAGATAAAATACTGTCACTTCCTTCTGTACATCACACCCTCTAAAATAGCCATATATTGACCGATCGAAACCAAGTTTTAAGGAGAAGTGTAGACATGAAAGTTTGTACAAAGTGTTGGAGCGGGGGGTGGGGCTGTCATTGTATTTTTCCAAACAAATCAGCTTTATACAAATTTTAGCGATTGTTCTGCGGGATTGAACGAAACGAAAAAATGTTAGCGATAACTTCAACAATATTAAATATTGTTAGGATTTAATATACACATCACCGTGTTGCAAAATTAATTAATTATTAAGTCTAATAATTCAAAATGCAGATCAAATATAACAATAATATAAAACACAATGTGACTATATATTTATCAGTTTAAAATTATTGAAAAAGTATGTTGGGTTTTTTTTTGCATTATAAAATAACATGCGACAAAAGCGTTAAGTGTAAAGATATATATTCTAGATTTTTTTCGGTATTGATTATGTTAGTTTTCTTTGGATATATTTTTTTGCTGGTAATATTTATTTCCTTCAAATATATATTGCTGGTAATAATGTACTGATGGTAATAATTTTTTTCCTAAAAAAATTATACCTAGTATTAAAACCTATTTTTACACTTCCATAGAGTTTTGTCCCCAGTTTGGGTGTTAACTATTTACCAATAGCTGGGACCCTAACAGGTGCTACCACCCCGGGTCAGGGCGGACCTAGGAACACCAACAATTAAGAGGTGGTTTCACACACCTCAAAACCTCCTAGATGCCTGGACGCAGTTTATCGTCTTACCCAGGACACCGACGTAATTTATCGTCTTACCAAGGACGCAGACGGGTTTGGGTGTTAAATATTTGCCCATAGCTGGGACCCTGACAGGTGCTACCACCCCGGGTCAGGGCGGACCTGGGAACACCAACAATTAAGAGGTGGTTCCACGCTCCTCAAAATCTCCTGAACAGAGGCCTTGCTTTCGGATGTAGTTTATCGTCTTACCCAGGACGGGTATGTGGATCACTTATAACAAATTTAGTATTGAGAGAAAAAGTTGCACATATAATAGACTGTGCCAGGGGTAATGATTAAACTGATATTTCCATTTTTAATAATTTAAAAAGCCGGAATTCTTTCAAGAAGTTAAAAATAGAGTTGATTCTATAGATAAAAATCCTAGATTACTCATATAGAAAAATATAACCAATACAGTTACAAAATTACGTATTATGAAGTCAAATTACGTTCTTTGGATGCTTTCACGTTTAATGGTTTAAAAAGCAGAATTCTTTCTTGAATAAGACAATACAATTAATTGCATAACATGGTATTTATATATAACACATATTATATATATATATATATATATATATATATATATATATATATATATATATATATATATTGATGCAGATTTCATTAAATAATATAGACTAAATAAATAATATAGTTTTGTCGATTAATTTTATGCAAATTCCTTTCATATCGTCTGATAAGCTTAATAACATTATTATTGAAAGGCGAAAGAAAAACACGATATTGATACATATTTTTAATCCTATCTAAGCTTTCGGCTTACATAAGGCATCATCAAAGATGACAATAACATTACAATATATTAAAGAATACACGGACATAGCAATAATGATAGTCTGTTTTTGTTTGCATGGAAGATTTCCAAGCAACGTCAAAATTTGTGCATACGTGACGCTGGAAGCGAAAATCGCACCGCGGCTCATGACATCACACATGATCACGCGAGAATGAAAACGAGAAGTGTTAAGTATGGTAAGCCGTTAGTATAAACCAATGGCTTCTGTTATCAGTTATAGGCATTTAAGTATATTTGTGGAGTTTTCATAGTTTATTTTGTTCAGGTTAGGTTTCAACTGGTTTATG